ATTATTATCATTATTATTATACTATCATTATTAGTTTTAGTAGTAGTAGTAGTAGTTAGTTTTATTATCATTATTATTATAAGCATTATTATTTTCATATATTATATCATTATCATTTTTTATTGTTATCATTATCATCATCTTGTATCATTTTGATCATTATATTATCAGCATTATTATTATTATCCGTATCAGTATCATTATTATTATTATCATTGTTATTATCACTCTTATTTTTTTGTTATTATCCTTATTGTTATTATTATAATTATCATCTTTATCAATATCACTCTTAGTATCACTTTCATAATTATTATCATCATTATCATTATAATTATCATTATCATCCTTACCATTAATACTTTTTTATTACTACCACTATCATTATTATTATCAATAATATTATCTGTACTATCATCAATATCAATATGATTATGATAACCATTATCATTTTTTCTTTACTATTATTACTATTACTATCACATATTTTCATTATCACCATTATTGTTATGATTATTATTATTATAATTATTATAAACAAATGCATTAATCCTCACTGCTATTATTATCATTATTGTTGTTATCATCATCATTATTTTCAGTCATTATTGTTATAGTTATTTTTGTTGTCTTCATTATTGTCATCATTATCATTATCATTACCTTTACCATTATAATTGATATTCCAAAGGTTCAAACAACTGTGCAGCAACAAATTTTTCAGTAGAATAGGATGAAGTTCTTGCTTTTTTTCTGTTTCTCTTGAAGTCTGTCTAAATGCGAATGTATATATTGTTGTACTACAGTGTGTAGCCAATCTTCAAGCTGAGTTTAGAGTTGTCCATTTAAGATACCTTGTCATAAATACACAAAGAGTGGAGAAAGAGACAAGAACTTTGCGAGTTATCTCATCTAAATATTGAGAAAATGTATAGAACAGAATCCAATTATAATATTCATGTGATAATTACAATATGATTATGATAATGATAATGTATAGTGATAATAATAAGAATAACAACAGGAGCAACAATAGCAATAATGATAATACTTACGTTGATAGTGATTGTAATAGAAGTGACAAAAATAGTGATGATGATCATGAGCATGATATGTTAATGACAAAATGTCAGTTTAATTAAAAATGGAAGATCATACAAATGTTTTGAAATTACAACCCAATACAAAATTACAGATCTGTCAGATATTTCTTTCACCACTGAAAACAATGTCACCCCCTTTATTCCTTGCATTTTTGCCAACTTTTTTTTCTTCTGTATTTATCATTTTATTTATACATTCTACTTCTTTCTTCAAGCTGTTTTAGTTACAATATAATACTTTTAGATCATTATTTTAAAAATTCTATCATATATAAGTTAGTAGTAGTACTTGGAGTGCTATATTTCAGCCTTCAATGATCTACTACTTTGGCATTTCTTTTTTTAACACAAATTAGCTGTTCAGTAAACATTTCTGACTCACTTCATATGTAGATTTCTGAAGGGTTATGCAGGTAAAAAGAAAAGATTCATATACATTCATTTCCTTTATTATGCAAAAGATTAACATGCTAGTTAACATTTTTTTCATAAAGATCACCATCCTGAATAAACTAAAGTTACAAGCTGAATGCATAGACAGGTGCTTCTGTATCAAATGTATTAAGAATCACACGCAATAAACCCTTTGTAAAATATGGTGGAGGGCTAAATCATGACTTTTAACCCATCTTATAAAACATCATGTGCATATATCACATTCCTATGACTACAAACACTAGCTTCCTTATGACATATACTATCTGTGACTATAATGTAAAGAGAAAATTTAGGAATATCTATATTTAATTCTGTGCATGTTATTTACCTATCTGCTTGTTTGCTAGAATATCTAAATTTAATTCAAGAAAATATATCCATCTGGATTAAAATCCCTAAGGAGCTATGCATACTGCATCACATGCACCTTAATCACTGAGAGGCATGAAGGGATACATAAAAAAAAATTACAAAAACATTTAAGCTCTTGACAGTCAGCAGCAGATACAAGTAGGCTATATTATTTTCTAAGAAAACTATATATTTCTACTGGCTCCATCCCTAGCTAGCCGGGACTACCTCTCCTTTGTGCCACAGTGTCCACCTGCCTGCCTGGGAACCTTTCAACACTCCAAAATCAAACCATTACTGAACTGCATGGATATCAAAGTCCTACGACTTTGCAGCTACCCCAGAAAGGAAGTGCGGTGAGCCAATACCTAAGACTGGCCACTAATACTTGGAAAGATATCCATAATGAATGGGTTCACCAATAGATGCATCTATATGCAACAGGCTGACCAGTTGGGGAATACAGGACCCAGTGAGAGGAAGCTGACTGGCCTGGCACAGAGACCACAACACAGCCATAATGAACACTGGCATCACAGTTTGGGAAGGCTATTGCATTAGCTGTCATCACTGTAAGAGATTTTCTCTCTCCATTACAGCTTGACATCTTTATCACACCATGGAAGCTCAAGTTTACTCAGTACATACTATCTCATCCTTAATGATGTGCCCCAGCATAAAATTTACCAGCATCATTCTGACCAAAAACCAATGTAAATATCTGGAGAAAGATTTTTAAAAAATAATAAGAAAGACAAACCTTATTCATGGGAAAAAAGAGTATATTAATATATGACAGGAAAAAAAATACAAGGGGGTGGGAAGCATGACAATGTGTAAAAAAAATTTCCATATGCAGACAATTACTTAAAATTTCATGCTGGGGCACACCATCGGAGAGAAAGTATTCTGTACTGTTGGTAAACAAGACTAATGATATTCACAAAATGCAACAGAGGCCTACATCCCCTGCGTTCAACCACATCTGTGCGCCAGCACTCAAATATAGGACAGGTGCACATACACTTGTTCTCCATGTTAAACCAGAAACTGTCACAATGACTCTGCTTGAACACACGGTGTGCATATTGTTCATCTGCAGACTGCTCAATCAATGGCAAGCTAAGAGCTTGCTGGAAATCACTCTGCTGCAATAGCTGTGGCATTTGGCATGAAACAATGCACTCAGGTCCACACTCCAAGGTTTCAGTAACAGACATGGATGACATTGTGTACACAAGGTAAGAAGACAACCTCACAGAGGCATGGCATACAGAGGTAGATCACCCAGCACACAGGTCAGGAGGCCAAGTAAAAGTTCAGCCACCAACAACAGAACACATATGTACACACCAAACTAGTCTTCCAACTCCGTTTCCAAAGAAGCAAACTTGTTGGTCACACTAAGTATCTGTGAAAATAAAATTCAGCCAATCAGTCTAACATCACATGAAATCAAAATAGCAAATACAAAAAAAAATAATAGAATACAGATGTCAAAAGAAATTGCCAAATCCATAAAACTGACTATAAAAGTGCATTTCCAAGAATCTTTAAACAAACACAAATTCAAAAGCATACAAATGTTAAAGATAAATCATGAGCTTTACAGGTAAAAATATAGAAAAACTACTCCCTGTACATCTGTCTCTCATACTTTCTCTGTTGCTGTCTCTTTCCCTTCCCCCTTCCACCTTCCCCATTCCCTATTCTATCTCTCTCTCTCTCTATCTATATCTCTACCCCATTCATTCTCTCTCACTCTCCTCCCCCCATTCATTCTCTCTCACTCTCCTCTCCCCCATCATTCTCTCTCACTCTCCCTCTCCCCATTCATTCTCTCTCACTCTCCCTCTCCCCTTTCATCCTCTCACACTCTCCCTCCCCCATTCATCGTTTCTCACTCTCCCTCTCCCCATTCATCCTCTGTCACTCTCCCTCTCCCCCATTCATCCTCTCACTCTCCCTCCCCATTCATCTTTTCTCATCTCCCTCTCCCCATTCATTCTCTCACTCTCCCCTCC